CGGGACGCGCGAGGCTGCCGAGGCTGATGGAAGGGGGACAGAAACAGGTGGCGGGCCGGGAACAGGTGGAGCGGAGCGGGGCGCGGAGACAGGTGTGTGAGGACGGCTCAGCTCCGGCTCCTTCGGGGCTAGGTCTGGCCCCAGTCCCTTTGCACTCCAGTGTCCCCACCGCCTCAGGCCGAGGGAGGACCTGGAGCCCCTGCCCCGCGCGCTCTGCTGGCCAGTGCGTGGGCCGGGGGGTTGGACCAGGTCTGAGCTGTGTTGGTCCTGGAGAAACTGCTTGGCCTCTCTGAGCCCAGAACTTTCAAAGGCCCGAGAGCGGGCCAGCCTCCAGTGGGAGCAAGGGCGCCCGCGCCCCTTGGTCTTCATCACCCACCTCTTCGCCTGAAGCCGAATTTTGGGAGGAATTTCAGGGAAGTGCGGATTTGACCAGGATAGAGACAGTGAGGGCGCCGTGCCATATGGGCCTGTCTTTGTGTCCAGGGGTGTGGAAGCATTTACACGGGGTCGTGGGTAAGTAGTAAAATTTAAGGGTGAAATCTAGGAGACAGGCTGAAATTCATGAAATTGTTAAGGGGCTCACCTATGCTGGGCCTTGGGTGTTTAACTACTTTGACTTTCTACTTGTCCTTAAATGAGTCTGCAACCTTTGTCATTAGGAAGGAAAATAAAGATTGTTTTAGGAATAACTGAAACATTGTGATGAATTTGCAAGTTGGCAAGGACCTCAGAGAACATCTAGTCCAACCCCCGGTACAGATATGGAAAGGGAGATCAGGAGATTGGGTTATGGACAAGGGTCTCTTTGCACTCCTGACCTCTGCTTGGGCATGATAAGGGAGGGGAGAGTGCTCTGTGCTTGTCCTGCTTGGAGGCCAGCCTGAGGGCCTTGGCTTTGACCTGATGTGAGTCCTGGGGGAGGGGTGTGGGTATCTCTTACCACACTGTGGGTCATGGCAGGGGGTGGCCGTGGCTTTAACTGAGATAGAGGTCCTGGTGGGGCACTGAGCCTGTGATCATGCTTTTAGTTCTGGGCCCATGGCTTTCCAGTCAGTGCTCTGAGTCCTCAGGGGCTATGGTCATGCCCTTGTTCCCAGGTACCCAGACTTTTCCTGAGGTGTGGAGGCCAAGGCCTCTTCCTCCTGTGCTTCTAGCCAGTCTGTTGGGGCTCTGTTGTTCTAACTAGGAGGCAGCTGATGTTCTTACATAAAGGGGAAGGAGTAAGAACCTGGACTTTGGAAGCAGGAACACTCAAGCCACATCTTGGCTCAGTTGTGACTTTGGGCAAGAATCTAATCCTCTAGGCGTCGGGTTCCTCATCTGTGGAAGGAGACTGTCATTATCCTGCTCCATGAAGCTGCTGTGAGCTTAACGTGTAGGTACTCAAGAAGGGGTAGCTGGCCATTTTATAATTTCACCACTCTTTCTTCTCGATACCTTAAAGCTAGGGATTGAAGCATCACCTCTGAGCTAACCCCCACTGCAGGTGGGGAGGAGACAAGCCTAGGGCTCACAGCCCCTTGGGCAGGGTCTGTGTTTCTCCAAGCTCCGAGTCTGATTAAAATATGGCTCTGGGCCTGGCCAGGCATGGCTCAGCGGTTGAGCATGGACCTAGGATCCAGGAGATTGAGGTTTGATTCCCGGTTAGGGCACATGCCCGGGTTGTGGACTCGAACCCCATTCGGGGGTGTGCAGGAGGCAGCTGATCAATGACGACTCATTGATGTTTCAACTCTCTCTCTCCCTCTCCCTTCCTCTCTCTGAAATCAATAAAGATATATATTTTTAAAAATAAATAAATAAAATAAGGCTCTGGCTTGAGCAGAGGGGCTCATGCCATTATACTGCCCCAGGGTGTTGCATTGGGTCGGATGGTGGGCTGGCCCAGCACCGGTGGTGCTTCCTGGAGGAAAAGGTAGGTAGCACTCATTGAGGCCAAAGATAAGACATGCAGATTGTGTGGGGGTTTGGGCTTCAGGTTAGGGTCTCAGAGTTCACAGCAGAGAGTGACTCAGCAGTGAGTGAACATGGAACCTGTAGGTGCAGCACCTCCGGTTCCCAGAGCCGGCATTCGTGCATCATCTTACCCTCTGCAAAGTGGGCTTATGACTAGGTGGGAGCCATGAGGACAGGTGAAGACCTGAGGGTGAGTGGCGGGTAGAAGTTGACTTGATCACAGCGGTTTGTAGAGAAGAGGACACGGGGCTCACGGCTGGTCTGTGCTGTGCGGCAGCTTGTCTCTGAGGCCTAGTCCCCAGCTCCTATGGGCCCCAGAGACTGGCTGCGGGATGCCCTGAGCCTCCTTCACCCCCACTCTTCATTATCAGTTCTTCCTCCTTTTGATAAAATTCAGAGCCACACCTGAGATCCAGAAGCTGTTACTTCTCTCATCATTCACCCGGCTCAGACCCGACTTTGGGGCAGGTGAGGCAGGAATGAAGAGGGGACTCGGAGCATGGCAGAAAGGACAGTATAACTGATGGCTTTTCTTAGCCAAAAGGTGGCAAGACTCTTCCTGGGCATGGACATGACTGAGGTGTGTCCGGGACAATAGGAGAGCTGACTTTCTGTCCCCTCTGAACAGGACAGATGCCATGTTGCTTTATTTTCAGGAGCTCTTCCTTCCCCCACCTGGCCCAGGGGAGTAGAGCAGGTGCAGTTCAGGAATCTGTTCTGGAACCCACTTCAGGGACTTGTGGCTGTCCCTGTGGTGGCACCACCAGAAAGTGGTCACTATCCAGCACCAGGCTTGTCACAGGCTTCTTGCCTGCTAGGGCTCCCATGGTCTTGAACAAATGAACAGGAAAGGGAAGCTGAGTGATATGTCTTCAGATTTCCTTCCGCACGTACCCAATGTCCTGAACTGCGTGTCTTGCTATCCTGTTGCTCAATGTCGGGTTCCTTGAGGGCCCAGAGCTGCATGCCCCCACTCGCCGGGTCCACATGATCTGTGTCCTGGCTCAGTTGTGTGCCCCCCACGTGGGCCTTAGTTTTCAACTTCTGCACTGCTGGGATTTCCCAGTGTTTTGCTGTTGGAAGCAGAGCTGTTGTGAATGCACTTGTACTTTGATTTTTCCTTTGGGTCATTTCCTTGGAAGCTTATCTTGAGGAACAGAGGTAATAGGTAATGTATTGCTCTTGTTTTGCACCCAGCCTGGATTTGCTGCCCTTTCTGCCCACCGTGGCTGTGCACGGGGCGAGGGGATGCTGATAGCAAACACCATGGGAGGAGGCAGGTTATCTCTGGGAAGATAGACGTGAAGAGAGGGTGCAGGACCCTAGTCCCGAGGTGGTGGAAGAACCCTCCAGGGGGCAGTGGGAAGGGGTAGTCTCATCACAGGGAGCAGGATGGGTGCAGGTTTCCCCCATGGTTAGTAGCGATGCACTGCCCTGGTTAGTAGCAATGCGTTGCCCCGCTAGTGCTTGAGAGCCCCAGCCAGCCGGCCAGGAATTGTGCAAACAGCCAGGCCCCATCGTGGGTGGCCCTCAGGACACAGGGCCTTGCCTAACTTGCTTTTCTCTCACCTTAGCCAATGCTGAGGTTTTTCTGCAAGTTTTCTCACTCTTGCTCACTGTCTGCTCTGTGGGATTCCCTCCTGCCCTCCACTGGGGCTCACTATTTGTGTCACATTTGCCCAAAGGTCATGCACAAGTCCCCATTGGCAAGTAGGGCCCCTTACGTCTCTGCCGGGCTGTCTTGGGGACAGAAGTGCTTCTGCACTCTAAGTTCCAAGGGCAGTCAGTGCTGAGGTACGGCTGTGTCCTTAGCCTGGGTGCTGCCAGGGGCCTGCAGAGGGCACAGCTTCCTAGAAGAAGCGCTTTTACATGGAGAGAGTGCTAGACCTCCCTGAGGGATTGTCATCTCCTCTTACAGCTGAGGACAGAGTCAAGATGGGAACCCAGGCCTCTCTAACTCTTGACCCCCAGGCAGGGCTGACTCCCACCCTGGGGCCACGGTGCTTCAGCCTGAGGGGTGGGGCCTGGCAGGCTGTCTAAGGAGGGCTACCAGGTAAAGGCACTTGCTGAGCCATGGGGGCAAAAGAAGGGCACTGACAGGTCCCCCCATCTGGCCATCTGTCTGCTGTGGCTTCACCTGGTCCAGTTCCTGAGGACGATGAAAGGGAAGCTTCCTGAGGCTTCTGAGGTGAGACCCCACTGAGAGCTGAGCTGGGGCACATGAGGCTGGCAATTCAGCTGCTTTGGTGTCTGTCCTGTTGGGCTAGGGAATTGGAGGGGCTCTGTCCAGACCCTTCCCGCCTTCAGCTTCTCTGATTGGCACACTGACCTGGTGGCTCATGGGATGGCGGGGGTGGGCTATCAGAGGAACCACCCTTATGGACATCGGCCTTTGTCTCTGGTCTCAGCCCCTTGAAGCCCTCACCCTGTTGGGTTTCGAGATGTTTCCCTCCTCCCTCCTGCCCATAATTCCTGAGCACCAACTCTGTGCTAGACCCCAGGATCCTTAATGGCTCAGACACTCCAGGGCTGCTTTCACTCCTAGTGGTGAGTCGGGGATCAGACTCCTTGGTGAGGTGACCAGGTTTGAGGGGAAGAGTGCACCAGGTAGGTATGGAGGTACCTTGGAGGAAGGTCTTGTGGAAGAAGCAGTGTTTGAGCTAGGCTTTGGACAGTGAAGAGAAATTAACCCTGGGAAGGGTTAGCAGTGGTACTGTGCGAGCAGGAATGCAGAACGCCCATTGGATTCCTAGATGGCAGGCAGGTTGTTGAATACCTGGCTGGGTCCTGGCTCTGCCCTGTTTGCCCTTAGGAACTCCCAAGCGGTGTTTAGCCAGGGGCGTGCCAGGTTCAGCTTTATATCTGGTGATGCACAGCAGGACAAGGGCTGGCAAGATCCCACTGCGTCTGCTGGAGCCCAGCAGCCTGAGAAATGGGGGTGTAGTGAAGGAAGAAACTTTCCTCTACCCTCAAGGGTCATCTGGCCGGTCTAATAATCAAATAGCCGTGATGCAGATTAGCAAGACAAAGTAACCAAATTAAATATATACACACATACATGTGGGAACCCTGCCCACATGAGTGGTTCAGAGACAGTAAGGGGAATTGAGGTATGTAAGACCTCCTGAGCTAGGGGGAGGTGATGCACCTTGGAGCTTCCCAGAGTCATTGCAGGAAGATAAGAAGAGCAGACCTTCAGTAAACAGAAGTTTGCCCTGCCCTATGGAGAGGTTGAAAGAAGTTATCTCTGATAAAGGCTTATGGGCAAGGCTTCTAATTCAAATTCTTCTTGATAATTAAGGGGGGTTGGGCAGAAGATTCTCTTGAGTCTGTGGCTAAAGTTGTCTTTAGCTCAGAACAATCTGCATACCTCAGAGACACACGTTGGGGTGAATTTCCCTGGACTCCCATACGGGCATGCCAGCAGTGGCTTGAGATCAGGGTCTGGTGGTGCTCAGGAGCTGTATGATGTGAGGAGGCTTGGAAAGCATATCTGATGCCAGTCCTGTGCCCTGAGGCTGAGGAACCTGCAGACACGGAGGGGCACATTGGGAGGGCTTCTGACCCTTGTCTGACTTCTGCCCCTTGCCTTTCAGTTTGCATGACCAACTGCCCAACGCTAATTGTCATGGTGGGCCTTCCTGCCAGGGGCAAGACCTACATCTCAAAAAAGCTCACTCGCTACCTGAACTGGATTGGCGTCCCCACGCGGGGTGAGACCTGGCCTCAGCTTTCCAAGCAGGCATTGGGGCTGTATGGGGAAGGGGGAGGAGGCGAGAGAAGACTAGACTGCAGCAGGGCCTGGGGTGGGTCAAGGGCAGGAGTTGGGGAGAGTTGCTGTTGTGTGAAAACTGAGTCTTTCCTTTCTCCCAGAATTCAACGTTGGTCAGTATCGCCGGGACATGGTCAAGACGTATAAATCTTTCGAGTTTTTCCTTCCAGACAACGAAGAGGGCCTGAAAATCAGAAAGTGAGTGAGAGAGTGTGTGTGTGTGTGTGTTTACAGAGAGGGCCCTGGAGACTCTGGAGCCCAGTGGCTGGTAATAACAGAGCTGCTTCCGAGCCTTGGCCTTGTCCTGCCTGGATGGGCTGAGACAGGGCTGCTCTGTTGACCTCTCAGGTGTGGTGGGGTTGGGGATATGATGGGTTTGGGGACAAAGGAAGAGGGTGTGTGGTTTCTTGGTGTCTAGCCCTGCCCAGTCCCCCCTGGCCAGGACATCCTATAGCAGGGGAGGACAGGACCTCAGGGAGGTGGTGGAGGCTTAGCCAGTGAAGGTCAAGGCTGCCTTCCATGGGATGACCTTTGGTTGGGAGGGAAGCCCAAGTGGGTGCAGGGGCACAGGCCTCAGGGATGGGGCAGAGTAGGAGTGGACTACCTCCTGGCACCTCACAAAGCCAGAAGGATCAGGTCCTGAACTGGGGCCTTTCTTCCCTTGTCCCAGGATAAGTCCCCTCCTGTGCATTTGGAGGGTGGTTAGCATGTGCTTGGCATGTGTGGATAGACCTTGGCTTAACTTTGAAGTGCTGTGTGACTTCACAGTCCTGCTGTTATTTATGAGATGGAAATTTGCATATGATACCACCTGAACTGAGTCTTTTCTCCAGAGAAACTGAGCACCAGCTGGTAGTCTGAGGAGCTGTGCAGTTATGCGATGCTCTTCTTGGCAGGCGTCAGCTGAGAGATCAAGAAGCTTCCTTACCCTTGCCCAGCCATTGTGGTAGGGAATTGAACAGAGGTTGGCCCAGCTCTACTAACCTCCTCAAGTCAAGCACAGCCCCAGGCCAGAAGCTACCTGGGTCTGGACATTAGGCAGCCAGCTCTCTCTCTTGCCACCAGGTGGCAGGAGCTCCCCATTGTGGGTCTTTGCTTTTCGGTCAATGGGTTGGGCCAGGCTGCTGAACCAGGAAGGGAAGGGGAGTCTGACATTCAGGCCTCTGTGGTAAAATTGTGGGTAAAATTCAAGGTTGGACCCTCTGGTGATAGCGACCCAGACAAAGGGAGGGGACTGATATTGAACTACTGTGTGCTGGGTATATGATGCCCATTGTCTCCCTCTCCCCATTTTACAGATGAGGAAACTGCGGCCAGAAGTCTCACACAAGATAACAAGTTATTTCATACATTCCATGGGTACACATTGGTTCATATACACACATATACACCCATGTGCACACAGTCACACTATACATGTGTGTGTGCAAACATGTGGATAGCTACACATATAAATACTCAGACTCACTCATACATATGCAGTCAAGATCACACAGCACTCAAGGACATGTACATACACACCTGCATTCATCATATGCACACACAGAGGCACACTCGTGCTCACCCATGTAGACATACACATGCAGGCACACTCAGACATGGTATAGGGGGTCCCCAAGACCACACCTGGTTCAGTGATTTGCTAGGATCTCAGCATGTGACCATGCTGCTGGCTAAGGTTTATTACAGCAAAATGATGAAAAGCAGCGTCAGCAAAGGGAAAAGACCTGGTTGAAGTCCAGAGGAAACTAGGCTTCCAAGAGTCCTCTGCCCTGGACTCAAACAGGGTACACTTAATTCCGCCAGCATGAACTGAGACAACACATGTGAAGTGTTTCCTTAGGGAAGCTCATCACAGACACCGTGTACAGGGTTTTATCAGGGGCTGGGCACGTAGACACCCTGTACCTAGTATGTACCAGAATTCCAGAATCCCAAAAGGAAAGCAGTGCTTAGTATAAACCACATTGTTTGTATAAACTGTCCAGATACAGTGAACCACTCTTATTATTTAAGGAAAATTTTTTTTTAAATCAGTGTAGGGAGCTGTCAAGGACCAGCCTTGCAAGCATGTCTTCGGAAGGACAGTATTCTTAGGCTGCTACGGTCACACACAACCCATGAAGGTGGCTGCACACACATGCATACACATACACTTGCATATCTCCTGGCACAGGTGTGGGCATGTACACACTTGTGCTCACTCTATATGCATACATGTTTACATGCATAAATACATACCAAGCACTCACATATGTGCAAATAACACATGAAAGCATGTATACACACCCCATGTGTATGCACATGTGCATATCCCCACTAGACTGACCACTGTAAACACCAATCACAAGCCCCTGGGGAGCCACCTGTACTTCCGACTGACCCTCTATATAAATCGGGGGTTTCCATAGCCTCCTGCTCCAGAGCTCAGGAACAGACTTTAGTTATGTTTACTGATTTATTGTAAAGGATATAACTCAGGAACAGCCAAATGGAAGAGATGCTCAGGCAAGGCAGGGGGTAGGGTGTGGAGCTTCTATGCCCTCTCAGGGCGCATCACCCTCCCAGCACCTCCGTGTGTTCACCAAACTGGGAGCTCTCCAACTATCATTGTCCAAGAGTTTTTACAGAGCTCAAGTCAATCTCCAGCCTACTCCCCTCTCCTGTCTGGGGTAGGATATGTCCCTGATCTACTGCCCTCCTGCCGCCAAGGTTGGATGCTGGCTGACCCTGTGTTTTCTCCCCTGAAGGCAGTGTGCCCTGGCAGCTCTCCGTGATGTCCGGCAGTTCCTTAGTGAGGAGGGGGGACATGTGGCGGTGAGTGTGATACCCTGGTGACATGTGGGAGCATACACACATCCACCCCTTTGCTCATCAGACCTCTAGAGGGAAAGGTAGGGTGTGTGTGGCTGGGATGCTCCTGGGGCCAGCCCCTGGGAGAAAGTCTGCAGCCATTGTGCAGGAGGAAGCCAGAAGCTGGATGTGGGCTAGGAATTTCTCTTTGGGCTTGTGGTTGTCTTCGACTCTGTAAGACTTTCCTCTGAGTACTCACATTATTGGCCATCTCACAGGTTAGAGAGAGCATGTTACCTAAGTCTTTAGCAAATATAATTTCTCCTGGTGTCAGGAGAATCCTGCCCAGCATTTAGTGGCTTTCCCAGCAACCAGTTGAATCATGGGTAAGGAAATTCCACCTGTGAGTTGGCTGCTCTAGTCAGATGGAAGGAGTGGGACAAGTAAGGCTGAGCGTAGGTGTCTGGGAGAAAGGCCCTACCCCACCCCTGTGCAGTCAAACACAGAAATTGTTTTTTCCTTTACTTTTTCCTCTTGGAGATGTGCCTTCTGGAGAGCTGTGTCTCCTGGCTCCATCTGGATCAGTTGTCTTCTAGGTCTGTGGCACATTTGTCTCCCTGGGAATTCCCTTCTCCTCCTGACTTGAATGCCCCACTCTTGGGTCTGTTGTCTTCCTTTTCCTTGGTTTACTAACTTGTTTTGCTGGAGCACATCCTCTAGTAGCTTTCTGAGAAAAGTACTTGGGAAATAAATTTCACAAGATCTTGCATGTCTAGAAATGTTTACTTTTATCCTTATATTTGATGGTTGGGTATAGAATTCTAGTTGGGAAGTACTTTCCCTTTAGAATTTCCACAATATTGGCTGGGGGCTTCTCATTACCATTCCTCTGAGGAGGCCTGTAGGGTCTTCAAGGTGATGCATCATGTGGTGAGTCTTATCTCCTCTATCATGCTGGGTCCAGGGCCCTTTTCAGGTAACTCTCCAGCAGGTCAGAGAAATTGTCATATATCATTACTTCGATAAACCTGCCACTTTCTGAGAAGTGATTCCTCACTCCACCCTGATTTTCAGAACTTCTTTTTCTAGAACTCCTGGTAGCTGCACACTACGTTTGATCCTTGATTTTACCTTTTTTTCCTTATTTTCTTTTTTTGTCCTACTTTCAGGGAGACTTTCTCAACAGTGTCTTACAAATATTTGGTTGAAATTTTAAAAAAATTTCTGTGCTCATGTTTTAATTTCCATATTTTAAATTTCTTGTTTTCTGTATGTTTTTTAGAACTTCTTCTTATTTTGTGGTTATTAGAGTTTTCTGTATCTCTCTTTAGATACTTAGTTTCTCGACATTTCCTTCTTTTCCATGCTCTGTCTTTATTTTCTCAAAGCTCCTTTTATTGTTTGATTGAGCCTCTGCTTTTCACGTTAGAGGTTTTTCTGGAGTGTCCAGTGAGCCCTGGTTGAGTGCCCTTTTGAAAAAGTGATGTTCAGAAAGCTGCTTGAATGTGTGGGTGTGTGGGCTGCCCCTGAGGGTGCCCAGGTAGGCCCCAGGTGCCCCAAGAGCATCCCCGGGTGGCCAGAGCTGGCAGATGAGGTGGGACAGGACTTGGGCTCTGCTGGCTCTCGCCAGTCCTGCCATTTCTCCACCTCCTTGCCCCTTTTGTCAGAGCTACCGTGTCCCTGTTCTTCACCAACCCGATTCTGCACAAGCAGGTGTGCTGTGGTCAGAGAGGGCTTGTTTTCTCTGTTTTTCGGAGTCAGTCACCATGTGTCTGTCTTACAAAACCTTGTTGACATCTCCCTTCTTCTCTGCTCTCCTCCCCTGTTCTTTTTTTAAAAAAGATATATATATTTTTTTATTCATTTCAGAGGGAGGAAGGGAGAGGTAGAGAGATAGAAACATCAATGATGAGAGTCATTGATCGGGGTCTCAAGCCCGCAACTGGGCATGTGCCCTGACTGGGAATTGAACCGCGATCCTTCTGGATCCTAGGCTGATGCTCAACCGCTGAGCCGCACCGGCCGGGCCTCCCCTGTTCCTTTATCCCTCTGTCCCCATTTTACTGGGGCCTCAGGATCGAGTGGTGATAAACATGGGTTCGGTTCTCCAGATTCAACTGGTTTCATGGGAAGTCCTGTTGGTCAAACATGAACTGAGAGCCTGCTGTATGCAAGCAGTGCTGAGTGCATTCCTCAGCGCCAAGGGTTTGCAGCCCTGCGGGAGCAAAGCACACTCACTCCCTCCAGCTTCCTTGGTGTCTGAAGGAGCCTGGCCAGGCAGGTGGCCCGGGCAGCAGCTAGTCCCAGTGAGAAATCCAGTCTCTGTACTGAAGCTGTCGGGTGGCCTCCTACCTTCTCCAGGGCCAGAGGCCGAGTTAACCCCCATTTGGTTCTAGGTTTTTGATGCAACAAATACCACCCGAGAACGGAGAGCAACCATCTTTAATTTTGGGGAACAGAACGGCTACAAGGTGAGACCTTAATGGCTCAAGTCCTTGGTTGGGCTGTGGCAGGTTTGGGCCCTCCAAGGCCCCTTTCACGGCTTCCTGATGGGGGCAGGGCATCAGACAGTTCTGTTCCAAGTGGATTTGGCATGAGAGGAGCTGCTTTTTTCTCTTTAGCTGGGGTCTTCTTTCCTGGGATACCAGGGGAGAGCCCTGGATAAGGCGGCACCTGCTTTGGTTCCATGCTTCTAGACCCTGCCCCCAACCCCAGAAGAAGGGCCTTGGGCCCTCAGTTCCTCAACTGCTCAGTTTGGCCCTCAGCCGGGTAGGGAGCTCTGTGGAGCCAGGCCCAAAGCCCTAAATGTGTCTGTGGTCCCTTCCCTCCTGCCCACCCTGGCCCTTGCTGCAGACCTTTTTCGTTGAGTCCATCTGTGTGGATCCCGAGGTCATAGCTGCTAACATCGTGGTGAGTGGTGCGTCTGACCTTGTTGGGACGGTAACACAATCAAGGTGGCATGTGTAAATTAGGTCCCTCTCCATGTTTGGGCTTGTTCCTGGGCCGGCCTTAATTTGGTCTTTCTGACCTTGGGGTGGGGGGTGGGAGACAGTAGAATGCCAGTTAGGGGAGCCTAGACCCCCACCCCCACCCAGGGCCACTCATGTTGGGGGACTTTGTGGCGGTCAGGCATTTAGTCTGCTTCCCCTTCTTCCTTCCCCCTCATAGTCCCCGGGGCGATGGTAGAGAAGCTGTAGCCCCTGGATGGGGGTTAGGGGATACTTACATTTTGAGAAAGAAAGAGACTGGCCTCCTCTCCCCTACTCCCTCTTTATCCAAGGAATGAACATCTGGGTTTGGGGAGATAGTTCAGGTGGGGAGGGTCTTCCAGGCCTCTTATCCCTCTGGCTTCCCTCCCCCCGTCCCACAAAAAGGAGGGGCTCCAACCTCAGGATGCCCAGTAATACTCTCTTAGCACCAGTGTGCTAAGCCAGGAAGCCACTGGACTCTTCCTAATGGGACCAGACCCAGTTGGCCTCTAGCCCAGCCTCGCCCCCACCCCCACGCCCCCTCAGCATTCTCCTTGGTCTCTGGCCCTGTCTGGCCTCCAGCCCTGACGTGGCCTTGCTCTGTGCCTGGCTCCACAGCAAGTGAAACTGGGCAGCCCTGACTATGTCAACCGTGATAGCGATGAGGCCACGGAAGATTTCATGAGGCGCATCGAGTGCTATGAGAATTCGTATGAGTCTCTGGATGAAGACCTGGACAGGTAAGCATCTGCATGTCACCTCTGAACCTAGACCAAGGTCCCACGGTCCGGACAGTGAGAATAGACAGAGGGCTCTGGGCTGAACCCCAGCACAAGGCCTGAGAAACCCCACCTTTACCACCTGCTGCCCCCCCCCACACACACACAGGTGTAAACAGGTGAGCATGCTCTCCAAGCTGCCCAGCTGCACAGGTCCAGAGCAGGGAAAGTGGCTGAGCGGGGTGTATTAGCTGCTGCCACAAGCACCTTCGGCCTGTGCTTCTCCTCCCACCTGTCTGCTGCCTGCTGTGGGGCGTGGCAGCCACTCTGCATGTCGATGACCTGGGCTGGGCTCCAGGGAAGGAGAGGCCAGGTCCACAGATGGCTGACCAGGCAGAGTGGAGGGGAAGAGCATTTGTTAGCTGCTCCTAGATCAGTCCTGGAAAAAACTCTCATTCACCTTACAGACAGTGCATTGGGAGCTCAGAGGCAGGCAAGAAGGGTCTGGGGACACAGAGCAGTGGTGAACGTCAGTGTGGCATGACTGGCCCCTCACTTTGGATGTCACCTTTTGGGCCCAAGAGTGTTGAGTACCTCCCAGGGTTTGTGTCACGCATGTCTTGTTGCTCCCACCTCACCCCATCACTTGCACACCAGCTGACGGTCCTGTGTGGTGACATCAAGCCTGGTGGTCAGAGATGCAAGGGTCTGTGGCCAGCTCCTGTGGCTGGCAGGATGTGTCCTCGAGGGCCCTGGTCACACTCACAGGCCCCTCTCTACCTTCTCTCTGGAAAGGGACCTGTCCTACATCAAGATCATGGACGTGGGGCAGAGCTACGTGGTGAACCGTGTGGCCGACCACATCCAGAGCCGCATTGTGTATTACCTCATGAACATCCATGTCACCCCCCGCTCCATCTACCTCTGCCGGCATGGGGAGAGCGAGCTGAACCTCAAGGGCCGGATCGGTGGGGACCCAGGACTATCTCCCCGGGGCAGGGAGGTCAGTGTGTGTGTGCCTGTGCATTGGTACCTCTGGGTGGCTCTGGGTGTGTATGTGTGTGTGTGCGCACGCACGTTGGGGTTGGGCTCCAGCTCTCATAGCTAATATATAATCATCAAGATGGATGACCTTCATTCAGTCTAGAATGTTCCCATCATGTAGGGAAGGTTACCAAGCACCAAGCTGATGCCTGGATCTGTGGCTTCCATGTGAGCTGTCACCTTGGAGAGGCATGACATTCTGGGATTGACCCGAGTCCCTGCAGTGTAGCCGATGGCTATACCATAGTCTAGGGGAGATGTTGAGGCCTTAGTGGGGAGGTCATACAGCCTGGAGCACATGGTCGGGGGCGATGGCATTGGCCCTCATGAACCACAGCTGGAACTACACTTGGGGTCTGGGAAGGATGCACAAGAACAGCACTTGTGGGTATGGGTGTGGCTGTTACTGGGTGGGTAGTTCACGTGTTCTGTGAGGCTGAGCATGACCTTGGGGGCCCTGTGACTGTGGGGTCTGAATTCGCTTGTGATGTGTTTCAGTTTGCCAAGAGCCTGGCCCAGTTCATCAGTGATCAGAACATCAAGGACCTGAAGGTCTGGACAAGCCAAATGAAGAGGACAATCCAGACAGCGGAGGCCCTGGGTGTGCCTTACGAGCAGTGGAAGGTCCTCAATGAGATCGATGCGGTAATGACCGCCCTTCCCTCCACGGCCCCGCTGCCTGGGCACAGCTGCGCTCAGCCAGGGTGACAGTGCCGAGGGGCAGGGACAGCTCGCTCCCTAACTTTTCTTTGTAGTTTAGGGTTTTGATTTCTCCCTCTCTCCCTGCATTTAACTGTCTAGACCAACCAGAATTTATTCTGACATAAGCCTTAAATATGAATATGCTGTCTCCCGGGTTAACTCACCTCTAACCACCCAGCGGTCCTTGTCCTGTTTGTTTCTTTTACCTGCTTTTATTTTAACTTTTTGCATATGATGTGTATCTGTTCATGCACCAGTACCACAGTTTTAATCATGACAGTTTTTTACTGTTTATAGGCATTTGATATCTTTTGTGAGGTCTTTTGGTCTTTTCCCCCCCATTGGATTGTCTGCCTTTTTCTTACTGATTTTTAGGCGTTCTAGATGTAGTCTGTTCTGGATACAGGCTGTAGTCTTGCTCTGCCTGTTGTCTAGCGTCTAAAAACGGTGGTTGTTTTTTGTCCAGTTTTAGAAAAATACATATTTTTATTGATTTCAGAGAGAGGAAGGGAGAAGGGGAGGCAGAAACGTCAATGAGAGAGTCATTGACTGGCTGCCTCCTGCACGCCCGCTGCTGAGAATCAAGCCTGCAACCTGGGCATGTGCCCTGACTGGGAATCGAACTGTTATCTCCTGGATCCTAGGCCGATGCTCAACCACTGAGCCAGCTGGGCTTTATCTTTCCTTTAAATAGACAACTTTGCCCCAAGGCTTTGTTTAGAACAAAGGCAGAGACCAGCAGCTTTTTATTAAGGGTGTTTATTGCTTCCTCCTGTCTCTGGGCATGTCCTCTCTGTGGCTTGAGCCTCTGAAGGATGGCCACTGGGCAGGTGACACATTTTGCTGGGCTCGCTGGCAGAGGAGTGGTTTGGGATGGCTGATCCCCCGGCCTGGCATGGGAGGCGTGGTGACCGAGGTGTCTCCCTAGGGCGTCTGTGAGGAAATGACCTATGAGGAGATCCAGGACCATTATCCACTGGAGTTTGCCCTGCGGGACCAGGACAAGTACCGGTACCGGTACCCCAAGGGGGAGGTAGGTGGGATTTGGGGGCTTAGTCTCAGACATCTGCTGCCTGCCTGGGAGGACTGCTTGTTGCGGCAGAGGGCCCTATGGGGCTCTGTGGGGTAGCAGGGGGCCTGGCCAGGCTGAATGCACGTGTCGTCTCTACCATTTCCCGTGGCTCAGGGTGCAGTCCCCTCCCTCGGTAGTGGAGGGACAGTGCACAGGACTCCCGACCCTGACTCCCGTTGGATCCCTGCTCCCTACTGCCCCTCACTTTGCCTTCCCGCTTCCCCGGGGTGTCACAGGGTGACCCCATGCCCAGCTCACAGGTCCTCATGCTGTCCTGTCCCCAGACTCTGGACAGCATTAGCTATTCCCCATATCGCTGTGAGTCGGGGCTCAGATTTAGAACCTGCCCAGATAGCAGTGAAAAGAGACAGAGCGGATAGCTGCGCAACCTGAAGAGTATAGGGGTCCGGCAGCTAGTAGGGAAATCAGTTACCCCAGAACCAATTTAGGATGTCCCCCAACTGCTGGTATTGCTCCCAGGTCAAAGTGGGGGAGGCCTTTTTTGAAGGACCACTCATTGTGTGCAAAGAAGAATGGATGCATCCCCTTCCCCACCAGGGCTTGGCCTCCTGGAGGAATCTCCAAACCTACTGGGCACAGGGGTTGGCCCAAGGGCTCCGGCATCTCCTCATGGGGGGAATGGGCAGGCCGACTGCGAGAGCTGAGGATCATTCCTGAGACCTCAGGTGTTCCTCACAGGCCATGCTCTGGAAGTTTGGGGGTCTGTTCCCCCTGCCCCCACAGCTCCTTCTGTTCACTCCCATCTGCTGTGAGCTGGGAGTGAGCCTTTTCCATGTCATCAGTTGCCAGCATGAGAATTCCAGTAGCTGAGGGCTCAGCAAAGGCCCCTTTGGATGGGCACAGAGGTGGCCCCTCGGGATGGCAGCCTAAGGCCCAGCCCTGCCCTCTCTATCCTATCGGGACCTGGCCCTGGGCTGGGGGAGGTGATCCCTTTCCCAGACTGCCAACCCTCACTGACCCCCCCAGCTTCCCTCTCAAGGTGACCTGTCACTGTCACAGTCCTGGGGGTGGCAGGCCCCAGCACTGAGCTGCCCAACCCCGTGCCCTCAGGAGTGAGACTGGAGGAGACCTAGCCACAGCCTCCAGCACAGGGAGGGGGTGGCCCAATACCCAGGCTGGCTCATCCCTGCCCCTGGAGCCAGCCTGAGGCACCCTTCCCGCTTGCCCTTGCAGTCCTACGAGGACCTGGTGCAGCGACTTGAGCCTGTCATCATGGAGCTGGAGCGGCAGGAGAACGTGCTGGTCATCTGCCACCAGGCGGTGATGCGCTGCCTCCTGGCCTACTTCCTGGACAAGGCGGCAGGTGCGGCCCTGCCCCGGGCGGGGGGGACGGGGTGTGAGAGAGAGGGGGACTGCGACCCAGGCGTCCCCGGCGTGCCAACCTCCTGTCTGTGTTCACAGAACAGCTGCCCTACCTCAAGTGTCCTCTGCACACCGTGCTGAAGCTGACCCCGGTGGCGTACGGTGAGCAAGCTCCCTGCATTCTGACCTGGTTTCTGGACGCTGGCTGTCCACAGGCTCCCAGATTTTCCGCAGACGCCTTGAAAATCCCATTGGGAGCTCACCCGTCCTCCCTCCACACCTCTACCTTTCCCAATTTGCTTTTAAATTTTTGGGTTTCGAATATTTCTGTGGCCACAGGAAGCCTCCCCAGTGATCCTCCTTAACTATGACCCGCCCTCATGAAGAGCTTTTCCACTGGTTTTTCCAAACCCCTCTCAAAGCCCGTGGCCCCCAAGACCAGGACCTTACAACATTCTGGTTGCAGCGTGGTTAGAGTCCCACCTCTGCCTGGGGCTGTGCCAGCGGAGACTTCAGGCAGCTCCCTAATGAGCCCCCGCGTCTGGGTGCGTCACCTTCAACACAGGGACCAGGCGTCTCAGGTGGTGCTCTCCAAGGATGAGCACAGCTCCGTCGCAGCTGATGCCATTGCAGTGTGTGTTCATCCCCTGGTCCCCACTGCACTGAGCACCTGAACCTGTGTGTGTGACAGGGCTGGGCGTGAGTGGTTGGGGCCCTGAAGGCTGAGTGTCATGACTCCATGCCGAGCTAGGCCTGTTGCTCCTTAGACCACCCTCAGCCCCCGAGGTAGACAGCCCTGCTCCTTAGTGCGGCCCTCACTGTGTCTGGGCTCCTTCGAGGCTGCGCTGGGCAGTGGCATTTGATAAGCAGGCACCTGACAAGGTGCCTCGTCCTTCCTCACTGGGGCCCCCAGAGCTGCCCGGGGTGGGCGGACGTGGGCGAGGCTGAGAAGCCTGCTCTGTCCACAGTCCCCCACCTCTTCCTGAGAAGGTTCTGCCCTCTGTGGCTCCAGCTGCCTTTCAGGAGGAAAATGGATTTGATCTTCCTTTGGCAGGTTGTAAAGTAGAGTCCATATTCCTGAACGTGGTGGCTGTGAACACGCACCGGGACAGGCCTCAGGTACCAACAGGGTCACTGCTGGGGTGGCAGCAGGTCCCCAGATGTCCAGGGCCAGACCCAGCTGGGGCTCCTGCCAGACTGAGCTTGACTTCTCCCCCAGGCTGCTCTCCTGTCTGCAGGGTGAGGCCGTGGTCTGGATGTGGCGCTGCCCTTGGGGTGGGGACATCCCTGGAGCTGGGCCACCAAGCTAGGAAGCACCTGAGCCGGATGTGGCTGGCTCAGCAGAGGTCTGAACCAAGGAGGGGTCCCAGCTGGGGAAGAAGAGGCTGGAGGCCTACAGGGGGGCAGGTGAGGAGTCTTCCATTCTCGCCCAGCAACCCAGGCCTCCTGAGCACCTTTTCTAACTCAAGCACCTCTAAAAATAAAACTCGTGTGTTTTGTTGAGGAAAGGGCTGTGCAGATGCTGAGGGGGCCTCGGCATGGGGCAGGGGTTTTCCTGCAGAAGAGCAGTTCAGTTCGCCACCCTGTGTTCTCCCAGCGCCTTAAGTTAGAAGCTCCCCAGAGTGTTTCCCAGAACCGCTGTCTGTGCCTGTGTGGGGCCCTCTGTCACACTGGTTACCTCCCCCACATGACCAAGAGCAGACCGCCCCTTCCAAGCCCTTCTCCCACAGTCTCCTGCAGCAAGAAGGCTCCTGGACCTGCTGCCACCCTCAGTGGGGTTTTTGGGCCCTGGGCAGCCTCCTGGCTTGAGCCCCTCGGGCAGAGATGTGTGGGTGTGTCTTCCCAAAGCCGCTGTCACCGTACACGCCTCTCACCCATTTGCCCTGAGCTTCTGGTCCAAGCCCAGTCTGGCATCCTTTGTGCTGGCCCTGCCCTCAAGGAGCAAGGAGCAAGCGGGGACCAGAGGCATCCTCAGCCCCCACTTCTGTTCCTGTGTTTTTCCACCAGCCATGCGTCCAGAGGCCCTTGAGTCCCTTGCTCTGGGGGAAGGTCGGGGTCCGGAGTCCTGCAGCTGGGCTCCTGGGAGTGAGAACATGAGCCCAGACACCCACAGCAGCGTGGAGAGCAGACAGCAGGACAGCGGGAGCCTGTGTGTTCGGGCCTCAGGGTGAATGTCCTGTGTTTTTATTTTTGTGCAGAATGTAGACATCTCGAGGCCTCCAGAGGAAGCCCTCGTCACAGTCCCTGCTCACCAATGACCCTGTCATCCACTGTGACCTCCGGGCAGGTATTGGTCTCTGCAGACAAGGTTGTGCCAGACCCCCTCGGCCCGTGAGACAGTCACCATGCAGGAACTCCGCCATGGCCATGTGTGGCTGGTGGTACCCAGAACCCCCCACCCCAGGCTGCCTGTTTCCTGTTGATAGCTCTGGGGTCCTTTGTACCTGGTGCCCAACCTGCAGCTAGAAGTTATTCAGCCAGACTGCCCCTGCTCTGGGCTGGTGAGAAATTTCCAGCACCTGGCCCTTCTCTGGTAGCTTCCAGGTGTTCTTGCTCACTGTCGGCGTGGCTTCATGATGTATAAACCCCTAAAATGTGAAACGGGATCCTCCCACCATGGCCAAGCTGCCTGGGGTTGGCCTGGGGACCCCTGCAGGCATTCTGCTGGCCTGTCTGTGGCCATTTCTGGAGCCAGAGGCAAGAGAGGCAAGGTCTTCATGGGCTCCCGCATTCCGCCGCCCTGCGGGGACTGAAGAGCTTTGGCCGCTGCAGACACCGGACCGGCCAGGCCCCTCTCCCGAGCAGTAGGCTCGCATCAGCACAATGCGCTGTGCAGAAATCGCAGGGAGCCAGCACCTGCGGTCGCCCTTCCCGGTCCCATACACTGGAGTACTTTGGGAGCCAGTGGCCAAGGCTGACCCTTGCCCTCTACTCTCTCAGTGAAACCAGGGAAAGCAGGGCGGGTGTATGAGTCACCTTCCCAGCCCACCTGCCCGAGACTCAGGGAGAAGCTGCCGTCCCTTCTACCCCCTCCCTGCCCGCCACCATGGCTGCCTGTGTCCACACAGGAGTGGACACCGGGGCGGGGACATGCATTTGCTGTGTGGGATTCAAAACAGCTTGTGTGGTCCTGTGAAGCCTGCCCCGGCTTTGGTTGACCTCCACCTGTGGGCCTGAGCAGGGGGAGGTCGGGACCTGAAGGCAGCCTGTCCAGGGGGATTTCCCCGGACGTGTCACAGCTTTTGATTCACGTGCACAGGAGCCTGTTGAAAATGACCTCGGGGAGTCTGCCATTTGTCATGCCCCTGAGTTCTTTTGGGCCCAGAGAGGCCAGCCAGGCAGCGGGTTCTGGCTTCATTTTAGAGCTCGGCCAACTGGCCAACAAGTTAGGAGCTGGCTGAGAAAGTGTCTGGCTTTGTCGTTGGATGACTGCTGTCCATGGGTGGACCTTGCTGAAGTCAGGCCCCAGAATCCCCAGCCGCTTCATACCTGCCACCTTTCCTAGGCTGTGCCGGAAGAACAGCCCGCCTTTCCCAGTCCCCAGGGCTTTGCAGCCTGCATGGCCACCTGCCCCTGAGGGAAGTCTGGCCCTGGCCCTGGCCCTGGCCCTGGCCCTGGCCCTGGCTGGAGGTCTCATTGTGTGCTGCAGCAGCTGTGGACAGATGTCCTGGTGAGGCCAGGGCAGGATCCTCCTGAACTCACTTCCTGTCAGAGCCCTGGGGCCAGAGGACCATGCCACAGCCTTTGGGATGGGGACTCCAGCCTTTGCTTCTGTGTCCACTGGAGTTTGGGTGACTTTTGGTCACCTGGACATATTTACTTTAGCCATAGTGGTCCCTTTGGTTAGTGGCCCGTACATCAGGATGTCACCACCTCTCCAGGACCTCAGGCTGGCTGAGGCAAGACCAGTGAGGCCTTTTGCTTCTGTCCAGAGGGCAGTCAGGGCTGTTGGACCTGGGTGTGTCCCCAAGACTGGGCTAGGGCAGAGGGAAGTGGGTCACAGTGTGGGCTTGGGCAGCCCCTCCCACCTCTGCCCGGACTAGTCTCTGCACGGACCACCGCCTGGCAGCTGCCAGGGTTCAGCCATGACAGTCGATGTGTTGTGTTGTGGGTGTTTTCTGCTCGCCCTGGAAGGGGTTGTGTGGGATCTCGGCCACACATCACACTGTGTCCAGCACTCTTTGCAATAAATACTTGTTAAAAAGACCCTAATGTAAGGTGGTATTTTGTGGCCAGCTCTGTGGACCCCCATGCTGTGGTCTCTCTCACAGGTCTGTGTTGGGATCCTTGGTCCAGCTCCCGCCCCAAGACCTACCCTCTCAAAAGAAAACTGCCTTTCCCTGGAGTGAGCCCTGGGCCCTCACCCCTAAGCAAGAGGCAGATGTGGGGGATGGGGGGTCTAGGGCCCCTGGAAATGTCTCAAATGTTGCCATCCTTGGGGAGGGGAACACAGGGTCTGTCTCAAGGATGGAGGGACTGCATGACGCTACGGGTGGGGGAATGTTGGCCAGTTCTGTTTTGGCACCTCCCTCTGGGCTGGCAAAGATGGTGACAAGGGGCAGAGTTTTCCCCTTCCCGTGCCTCAGAATTTCATTGGACTTCCTACACTTCCTGCCCTGGGGCTGGGCTGTTAGGAGGGCAGGTTGCAGGGGTGCTCCTCCGTTTACATGACATGGCGGGTGCCCACCTGGGCCTCTCCCAGGGTGTCAGGGCAGAGGGTGGCTGTGGCTGGGCTGCCACAGAGGGGGTGGTTCAGGGTTGCCAACAGCCATGACTCTGCCTTGCCCCGCTGGGTCACACTGGATGACAAATCCTGGGGCTCCAGGGCTAGCAGCTATGACTGTCTTCCTGGTAGGTGAGGTTGGGGACAGCTCAGTGTTCCTCATCCTGGGTCCCAGAACTGAGTTCCTGGGGTGGACCCCTGACCTCCTTGGAGGCTTTAGCACTTTTTGAAGAAGGTGTTGAAGATTTTTAGCAGCAAAGCAATAGCAGAAGGAATAAAACATAACTATCCGGATTTTTCTTTGGGTCCAGTGTTCTACCAGAACCTAGGAAGAGCAGTTAGCCCTGGCCAGTGCGGCCCAGGTGGTTGGAGCATTGTCCTGTACACTGAAAGGTGGTGGGTTCGAATCCCAGTCAGGGCACATGCCCAGGTTTCAGGTTTGATCCCCGGCCAGGTCACGTTTGGGAGGCAACTGATCAGTGCCTCTCTCTCTCTTTCTCCTCTCTAAAATTAAAAATAAAATTTAAAAAAGTGATTATATGTTGTTACATTGAAGAATTTTGTAGCATTTGGGGTTGCTAGGAATAATGGCCATTAGGTAGGATCAGAAGATATTTAGATTGAATGAAATGTAAAGAAATTAGTTTCAGCAACATTTGAGTTCTATTTATGATAATTATACATTATATGTTAATAAATAAAGTAAAATATAATTATCACCTGCAAAGGAGGGTGTTGCCGTCATTATTTATTCCCTGGGGCTGGGCACATTGGTGCTTGAGCAAGACTAGTTTAGTGGAAGTGAAACCTGCCTTTGTGCAGGCCAGGACCAGTGTCTGCCACACCCTGGTTAGGGGCCACCCGTCTCTTCGGGAAGGGAGGGGAGGGAACCCTGAAAGGGCGCCCACCCCACCTCGTGCAGGGCCCCTGGGTCGTGAACTGACCTCGGCTGGAAAATGGATGAGAAGTCCTCTCCCCTGCAGCCAGGCCTCCGCTGGTCAGCCCTCCAGCTATTCTGTTCACATCAGGTGAGTCCTGCTTCGTGTCAGCCTCTGAACCTCTCCTGGCAGCTCAATGCTTGGCCCTGTCACCCAAGGTCCTGGTATCTGCATTGAAACCAAGGAGCCATTTCAACTAGAGTGTGTCCAGGCAGAAGCCCTGAGGCGTGGAGAACAGTCACTATGGCATTTGTTATGGGTTGAATTGTCCCCCTCACCACCAAAGTCATACATTGAACACTTAGCCCCAAGCGCCTTTTCCTATGACCTTACATGGAAATAGGGTCATTGCAGATGTTTTAAGTTAGGATGAGGTCCTCCTGGAGTGGGTGGGCCCTCAATCCAAAATCCCCTAGCGCCCTCAGAGAGCCAGGGCATGGCCCTGCTGACCTCTTGGTTTCACACTTCCAGCTGCCAGACTGAGAGTAACTCTAAGCCACTCAGTGTGCGGTACTTTTTTACAGCAGCTCTAGCAAAGGGAAACTTTTCAAAGATGTTCCCCTCCCCAGTGAACTAGCTGCCTGAGGCCTTGTCGAAGGAGCCTCTTCTGGGCACTCTTGAGGGACTTGGGGTGGGGTGGGGTGAGGTGAGCTGTCTAATAAATTCAGTCTGAGTTTGTTTTGAATGAGTCAGTGGATCTTCCTGAGGCTTTGGAGTCCTTCCTCTACATTCCACCAGGGAGCTTTTGGCATCTCCACTGCATTAGTGAGACCAGCTTCATTTCAGCTGAGCACACAGACACGCAGAACAGCCCCCACTAGCCCAAGCCAGCACTTGTATCCTGAATTTCTGACAAGTGCACCTGTATTGATAAATTCAGCCCAAGTTAAAAGTATGTATAGTGTTACCTCCTTGGTCCAAGACCTCAGTTTTTCCACAAATATTCCCCATATTTTGGCCAACATTAAATAACAAAGTCTTACAATTCTTTTGCTATATAAGCCTTCCCTCTGGGTTTGACTTTATAATAAGGTCTCCAGACATGCTGGGACTTATCTCTAGTTTAAGGCACTGGAGATATCAAGAAGTTGGAGAGTGGGGGCAGGGGTGGGGTAGAAGGTGTCAATGGGGAATAAAAAGGGACATTTGTAATACTTTCAACAATAAAGATAAATAAAAGAAGTTCAAGAGAAGGGGCATGAGAAGAGTTAGCTCCCACTGCAAAGTAATTCCCCTCATGAGGTCTTCTGGGGGCACTTTGCTTTGATGGGCAAGAAAGGTGCAGAAGGGCTGGGTGGGTGGTAATTTGATTGCTCTGGGTCCTTTTATACATTTTCATTCTGTTTAAGTCATTAACATAACACATTAAGTACCTACCATGTACCGAGCAGTGGGGAGATAGCAACAAGCACTATGAGCAAACCCTGCTGTCACAGAGCTGGCATTCTAGAGGTGGGAGACACAGTCAAGAAATAAGTCAGGATGTAGCATATCAGAGGGGAGGGTGAGGGAGGGGTGCAAGGACACCTTACTGTGCCCTGGCCAGTGTGTCCCAGTTGGTTGGGCGTTGTTCCATGCACCAGGACCTTGTGGTTCGATTCTGGGTCAGGGCCCATGCCCAGGTTCTGGGCCCCATCCCAATAGGGGGCATGCAGGAGGCAGCCAATCAGTGTTTCTCTCTCTCTCCCACTCCCTTCCTCTCTCTAAACTCAATAAAAACATTAAAAAAAAGAAAAAGAAAAAAAGAATGCCTCACTGAAAAGGTGGCCAAAGGCCTGGATGAAGCCATGGCTCATTCCACAGCCAGTGCAGGGCCCTGAGGGCTGGCGGGCTGGCTGTGCCTGGTGAGGTCCAGGAACGTAGAGGCGACTGGGACGGCTGCAGAAGGGTGAGGTCAGAGGTCATGGGGCCCAGATGATGCGGGGCCTTGGAAATGGGAGGCCTGTGAAATGCTTTGAGTCAGGTGACTTGATCTGATGAACATTTTTAAAGGATCCCTCTGGCTGCTGTTAAATCAAGCATAGGCCTCAACGGGTCAGAGGAAAAGCCAGGAGACCTGCCCAGAGGCTGCTGTGATTAATCCAGGTGACCGACCATGAAGCTTGTGATCGAGCTACTGAGACGTGGTCAGAGTCTGCGTACATTTTGAAGGAAGAGCCAAGACTGGCTGATGGTTTGGATGGAGGCACGTGAGAAAGACATGATGCCAAGGGATGGGGTTACCACTTACGGACATGTGAGAGCCCACAGAGGAAGCTGGTGGCCCCGAGGGCTCAGCAGTTCCGCTGAAGGTGCATTAAGGTGAAATGCCAGTTGATGTCTATCCGTGTGGAGATGCTGACAGGATAGCTGCATCTTCAAGTCTGCTGTCGAAGAGGCCTGGGCTGGAGGTAGGAAATGACACGGTCGGTGTGTCGATGGTTCGGGGCCACGACACTGGATGAGCTCTCCAAGGGGAATGTAAACAGAGAAGAAATGGGGCCTACAGACCACGCCCTGGGGACCTCACACGAGGGGCTGGAGATGAGGAAGGGCCAGGGCAGGGGTATGAGGAGCAGTGCGGGGAGTGCGGGAGGGGGTGTCCCGCTGTGTCAGGTGACTCTGGCAGTCAAGGAAGAGAAGACCTGAGAAATGACCGCTTGACGTAGGCGTGGAGTCCAGTTCCCCAGGGTCTCTGTGTATACGCTGCTCGGCTCTGTCCTGGTGATTGCTGTTGACCTTAAACACATAGCCACATGTTTCTCTGTTGTTTGGAAACAACAAAGAATGGCAATTCCGGACCTGCAGTCTAATGGGAACCAGTGGCAAGTCCAGAGAACGGAGGAGAGGAGCGCTTGTCACTGGCCGAGCGAGGGTGGTGTGCTCAGGCCGGTGGGGGTCCCGGCCCTGAGCGGGTCTGCCTAGGGCCAGCCAGTAGTATGTGGGTTCCTGCCTTTGTGCAGGAAAAAGTTCCCAGCACCAGCCCTCCTGCCACCTGAGAGGCTACCTGCAGTGCTTTGTTTTCTGACACCACTTCAGACACTAAATTGTGTTGTTTTCATACCAACAACCAGTTCTCTGATTCTCCCACACCAACTGGGTGTCCAACTCAGCTCAACTCTGACACCAACTCATGAGTTAGCGCAGACACCACAGGTTAAGGGCTCAGTCCCACAAGCTTGTGCCCACTTCAGGTGTCAGTCCCAAGTCCCAAGAGGGCCACTGGGAACTTCTGGCCAGCTGGCTGTAAGTATCGAGGGCTCCTAAACTCCCTTCTCAAGTTCGATAACTTGCTGGACCTACTCTCAGAACTTGGGAAAACACCTTATTTATAGTTACCAGTTTATGGAAGAGATGCGTAGGGCAGGGTGTGGGGCACTGGGGAAGGAGCTTCCAAGCTGCCCAGGGCTACCACCTTCCCAGCACGTCAGTGTTTCGCAAACCCCAAACTCCCTGAACTCCACCATGTAGGGGTTTTCCGGAGTTTCCATTACACTGGTATGATTGATGAAATCATAAGCCTTTGGTGATAGCCGTCAATCTGGGAGCCAAACCCCCAGGTTGAGGGTGGGGCTGAAAGCTCCAACCCTCTGTTCTTGGTCTTTCGCGTGACCAGCCTTCATCCTGAAGCTTCTACCGGGAGTCATCTCATTAGCATACAAAAACAGTCATTTCTAAGCCAAGAAGCGGGGACAAAGAGGAACTCTGAATATTCCGGTGGCTTGACTATCTCTGTCCCCTCAGCCTTCCAGGCTTGCCAGAGCCTTTTCCTTTATCCTGGTGGGATTCCCGCTGCCTTTGGCTCCAACCAGGGACACTCTGGCACCCCCCCATTACCCTGGTCACCTGCTTCTTTATCAGTGGGAGGAAACAATTGCCAGGAAGCAAAATCTCAACAGATTGAGAAAGCAAAGGGGGGCATCTCCAGGATGGGGTAAAAAGGGAAGAGATATATACTCCTTTTGCAAAGGTGGGTGTAGGAGAGTTAATGTCAACATTAGCATGATAATACTGACAATGAGGGGATTTGTGGCCTCTGCTCGGGCCTGGTGGTTGTGCTTTGAGAGGGGGTAGGAGCAAATTACTTTGATATTCAAAAGGTATGTTATCAGGTATGTTATCATAGATGCAAAAAAAAAGACTACGGACAGGCTCAATTAAGGTCAAAATTGACCTTTGTTAGGGAAAAATACTGGCCTAGGACGTGTCTACCCACCACGACCTGCTTTTAGTTAGAAATAATTAATTTCAGACCATATTATGTGGTCTTTCCATCTCTGTTTGTAAGGCCACCATGCAGGACTCCCCTGGGCTTGTCAGGTTTAGGATGTGGTCCCCTTTTCTTTTTTTCTTAATAAATTAATTTTAGAGTGAGAGAGGAAGGGAGAGGGAGAGAGAAACATTAGTCGGTTGCCTCCTGTATGCACCGTGACTGGGGGGTCAAACCTGAACCCGCAACCTGGGCATGTGCCCTGAACCAGGAATCAAACCCATGACCCTTCTGTGCAGAGAACCACGTTCTGACCAACTGGGCCACACGAGCCAAGGCTTTATGTGGCCCCTATTTCATACAGATGATTACCTGGGTCCAGCCCTTGGGGAAGTGAGTGTGTGGCAGTTTTGCTTTCTGAGATGAGGAAAGGGGCCCAGGTGCGGGTGGAGAGGGATGGCAAGGGCCCTGGCAGCGCTTTACTTTAGCATTTGCCAGGCCCGGCCCCAGGGTCAGTCCTGGGCAGGTCGGCCTCTCCACGCCCTGCTCCCACACCCTGGCTGGCACTGGGCTTTCTGGGCGTCATTGGATATGCTCCACTCGCCAGCGTCAAGCAGAATTTCTGCCTATAGCTCGGCTCCACGCGGTATGCAAAGATCCACAGAGGAAAACAGTGACTCTCATCAACCCGGGTGTTCGGCCCTCACGGTGATGGCATTTGGAGGTGGGGTCTTTGGGTGGTGATTAGGTGGAGAGGGTGTGCACTCGTGAATGGGATTAGTGTCCTTTCAGAAGAGGCCCCAGAGAGGTCCCTCGCTCCGCCCACCGCGTGAGAACTCGGGAAAGAACAAGGTGAACCGGGAAGCTGAATGTCATCAGATGTAGAATCTGCTGGTGCCTTTTTTTTTAAAAAAAAATATGGGCCCAGCCGCTGTGGCTCAGAAGTTGAGCATTGACCTAGGATCCAGGCGATCAGGGTTCGGTTCCTGGTCAGGGCACATGCCCGGGTTGTGGGCTGCAGCCGATCAATGACTTTCATCATTGATGTTCCTCTCTCTCTCTCTCCCGCTCTCCCTTCCTCTCTCTGAAATCAATAAAAGATACATTAAAAAAATATATATGGAATGTTTCAAGAATTTTCTTGTCATCTTGTGCAGAGGTCACGCTAATCTTCCCTGTATTGTTCCAGTTTTAGTATATGTGCTGCCGAAGTGAGCACCCTTGTGTTTTTTAAAAAATTGTTTTCATTGATTTTTGGAGAGAGAGGAAGGTACAGAGAGAAATGAAACACCCATTTGAGAAACATCAACTGGTTGCCTCCCATAGGCACCCTGACCAGATGCAACCACAACCTGGGCGTGTGCCTGGGAACCGGACGCGAGGCCCTTAGGTGCTGGGACCGACTCTCCAAGCAACTCAGCCACAGGGGCCAGGGCAGGGCTCTGCTGGCACGTGCATCTTGGGCTTCCCAGTCCGCAGAACTGTCAGAAATAAATGCTGTTTATGAGCCACCGAGTCTGATGATCTGCTCTAGCAGCCCGAGGGGCTGAGACGCGCTGTGGCCGTGGGCACCGCTCCCCTCTGCGATCCGGAGCCAGGCGGCCCGGCGAGCCCAGCGCTGTCCCTCCGAGCAGGCCACCCGAGCCAGGGCTGACCCTAGAGATCCAGGCGTCACCCCAGGGGGCTGGGCGACGGTGTGTCCTCAGAGCCGGGGTCCCCCTCGGTCCCCGGGCTAGACTTCCACAAGGAAACGGGCACTCGTGCCCCACTGCGTGCCCCAGGGCTGCTCTGGGCACTGTGGCCGGGCCACCTCACCGGCCCTCAGGTAGCTCCGGGAGGAGAGCGAGGGTCCGCTGG